TGGGTACCGCCTCCTAATGATTGGCCTGCCAACTGTCCTGATTTTTTTTATTTCTCATTTTAGTAATTTTAAATTAATGTAAAAATATATGTTTGACTTAAAAGAAAAAAAATCTTCATTGTCTTGCCTTGATACAGTTATATAGGCTAGACTTGGACTGCTGTTTCTGGTTACTAGGGGGCATCAACTATTTCTTAGAGCTCTAACACTTCTGATAAGATCAGTTGAGCTCTTACATTTCTGATAAGATCAGTTGACCTTAGCATTTCTGATAAGATCAGTTGAGCTCTAACATTTCTGATAAGATCAGTTAAGCTCTTACATTTCTGATAAGATTAGTTGAGCTCTTAAATTTCTGATAAGATCAGTTGAGCTCTTAACATTTCTGATAAGTTCAGTTGAGCTCTTTCTTACATTTCTGATAAGATCAGTTGAGCTCTAACATTTCTGATCAGTTCAGTTGAGCTCTTTTTTACATTTCTGATAAGATCAGTTGAGCTCTTACATTTCTGATAAGATCAGTTGAGCTCTAACATTTCTGATAAGATCAGTTGAGCTCTTACATTTCTGCTAAGCATGTTCAGATATTATATTAAAACATGTTTAAATTGAACAAAAGTATAACAAGGGAGCCTGTGGGAAGAATCATTTGTTTGACTGATTTTGGCCCACAAAAAAGTTAAACAGTCAGGGGTACTACTTAAACAAGTGATTTCAGAATCACTTCCTCGAGTGATTTTGGCTGTGAAATATTAAAAATTTTCACACAGACTTTTTTAAATCACTGAAACAAGTAATTTTAGAAGTTAAAATGTAATCACTTTAATAAGTGTTTATAACATTTTCTTGATATTTTTCCCACAAGCTTGATTTTTTTATTGGTAAAAAGACAACAATTCCATTGAAAAAACAACTATGTACATGCAGAAACTGTCTTTTGCTTGATAAGCCTGACACTTTTACAGTTTTTTTAAAATATGCAAAAACTGGAATAGTTTGTAGATCAGGTCATAACCTTGAAGTAGATCATTCTAACTCTAAAGAAAACCAATCAGGTTACCTAATATTGTTGATCTTTGTCTGATAGTAAGAATAGTTAATGAATTTTTGATTACAGAAAAATTCCCAAGGGTACTTTTAAAAGCTTTAGCGCACTAACTTACTGCCCAAGCGCACTGGTGAAATTAATATACAAAGAAAAAGGGATAATTGATTTATGTAGGAAAATTATAGAAAAGATTGTGAAAATATGGAAAATCAATGAAATTAGCATTTGAAGATCAAAGAAAACACTAAAATCACTTAAATAGGTGATAACTGAATTTATCAAATCACTGAAATAAGTGATGATCAAATCACTTGTTTAAGTAGCACCCCTGACTGTTAAATGATGGTTTAAATATTTATTTTGAATCCATGATATGAAATCAAACAGACCTAGAAAAGTCACGTGCTTGTCTGTGTATTTATATTTATATTTATGTTCATATCGGGTCATATGGCTACTAGCAATTTTTGGAGGTCATCTCGATGTTAAATTAGATGGCGTCTTGTCTGAAAAACCCATGAATTGCTGATACATTATAACAAGACCTGTTGGTGACCTTCTGCTGTTGTCTGTTCTATGGTCAGGTTGTTGTCTCTTTGACACATTCCCCATTTCCATTCTCAATTTTATTCTTAATTATTTCTTTTGGACTACTTGTAATTTGGATATATGTTTTATTATGATATTATGATATAAATCAATTATGAGAATTTGAGTCAAATTAGTGAACAAGAATTTAACAGGTAATGCCCCTTTAGATTGAAACATTTGCTTTATACTATAAAAATTGCATGTATACACAGGTGAAACATATCCCTGTTTATTTAGAAGATCGTGTGAATTTGGAAAATATTCACAATGGTTGAAAAAATCAGCTACTTAATGAGATTGCTTAATTTAGAATATAGGGGTCATAGTTCTGTTTATATCAGTCAATAAATGCATTGCTTGAATTTCAAACACAGGTATATAGAATAACAGTCATTGGCAACTAGAACTTAATATACCCAGACACAAGAATCGACAATTAAACTCCTAAAATAACATTTTATAATTCAAGCAGTTATAGTAATGTAGAGAACACTTTAAATTCAATGAAGAAAAGTAATATGCAAACATAATGTCAAACTGGCGACTCAAAATCATACTTAAATAAAACATACAGATAGTAATGTACAGATCCCTGTTATCAGAAACCCATTTCAAATTTCATTTGTTTTGTTTTTTTGTTTTTGATAAAAGTAGATCCTGTGTATACATTATATAGACAGCAAACCAACAACACAAATAACATTGTTTGTACTTGGACAGCAGCAGATGAAGAACAACAATACAAAATGCTATTCTATTGAGATATGGTTACTTTCCAATATTAAATTTCTTTGTTATATTTATATTGGCAAATAGGTATATATATATATATATACAAGTCTAAATTGAAAACAACGTTCAAACCTATGATTGCGTTGAATAAAAACCGCAATTTTTATATGTGTGCATGCAAAACAAATTTCTTGTTAGAAGAGTCTAAATACAGCACTAACAGCATTTTCCAAAAGACCAAAAAAGTTAAAAAGTATATTTTAACAAAACGCATTTGACTAACAGGTCGAACAACAAATGTTCTTAAACCCTGTCGACTGCCATTGGCGATTGCCAAATAAACGGATCACCAGGTGTAGTAAATGGATCTTATTTATAAATTAATACCAAACAGAAAACAATAAACTTGCGGCAAAGATGGTATACCGTAAACAAAAGGTGCAAAGATTTTTGTACACCATATCTGGATTTCGACAATTAATGTCTCTTCAGTGATGTTAGGAATCAAAACGGTATTTGGAAGGCCATATAATTCACCTCAATTTAGGATAGACTCTTGAATTTTGAGGAGTCAAAAATAGGATGAACGGATCATATAAACCAGAAGGCAAATATAATACAAGCCCAAACGAAAAAATATAAACAAGTCTAAATTGAAAACAACGTTCAAACCTATGATTGCGTTGGATAAAAACCGCAATTTTTATACGTGTGCATGCAAAACAGATTTCTTGTTAGAAGAGTCTAAATACAGCACAAACAACATTTTCCAAAAGACCAAAAAAGTGAAAAAGTATATTTTAACAAAACGCATTTGACTAACAGGTCGAACAACAAATGTTCTTAAACCCTGTCGACTGCCATTGGCGATTGCCAAATAAACAGATCACCAGGTGTAATAAATGGATCTTATTTATAAATTAATACCGAACAGAAAACAATAAACTTGCGGCAAAGATGGTATACCGTAAACAAAAGGTGCAAAGATTTTTGTACACCATACCCGGATTTCGACAATTAATGTCTCTTCAGTGATGTTAGGAATCGAAACGGTATTTGGAAGGCCATATAATTCACCTCAATTTAGGATAAACTCTTGAATTTTGAGGAGTCAAAATAGGATGAACGGATCATATAAACCCGAAGGCAAATATAATACAAGCCCAAACGAAAAAATATAAACAAGTCTAAATTGAAAACAACGTTCAAACCTATGATTGCGTTGGATAAAAACCGCAATTTTTATACGTGTGCATGCAAAACAAAAAATTTCTTGTTAGAAGAGTCTAAATACAGCACAAACAACATTTTCCAAAAGACCAAAAAAGTGAAAAAGTATATTTTAACAAAACGCATTTGACTAACAGGTCGAACAACAAATGTTCTTAAACCCTGTCGACTGCCATTGGCGATTGCCAAATAAACTGATCACCAGGTGTAATAAATGGATCTTATTTATAAATTAATACCAAAAAGAAAACAATAAACTTGCGGCAAAGATGGTATACCGTAAACAAAAGGTGTATATATATATATATATATACACAAGTCAAAATTGAAAACAACGTTCAAACCTATGATTGCGTTGGATAAAAACCACAATTTTTATACGTGTGCATGTAAAACAATTTTCTTTGTAGAGGGGTCTAAATACAGCACAAACAACATTTTCCAAAATACCAAAAAGTGAAAAAGTATATATATAAATGTCTAAATTGAAAACAACGTTCAAACCTATGATATATATATGAAGTCTAAAAGAAATATATATTTTTATCTAACTTTTAAGATCTTTTTTTGAAGAAGTATTTTTTTTAAAAAGTTTTTTATAAGTGGAAAAATTTTGATTAATATCAAAGCCATTGTTTATGTCTGATATCAAGGTCACAGTCTAATTTACTTAATCATCAGATTTTATGTACATAGAAATGGAAGGTTCAAATTTCTGATCATTGTTCCTTTAAATTCCTTGTTTATTGTTGAACAATGCATGTGCATGCACTTGTAAGTGGAATTTTACGATTTTATGTACTTGGCATTTTACCCATCACTCCTAAGATCATCTGATATGCAAATGTATAGCCTGACTGGATCCACTTTCCAGTATAAAACTTTAACAATTTAAATAGTAAAAAAAGATTGGACATTTTTAAATTGTTTTAAACCACAAAGAAATGTAGAAAACCACATTGAAGTCATCGGGTTCATTAGAGCTTTAAGTAGGAATGCATCTAAGTTGCACTCGATAACTTACATTTTAATTGTTTTTGGAAATTAATTGGCAAACCAGTTTAAGTTTTTTTATGTAAATTTGGGTTGTAATTTTTCCCAATTAGAACAAATTTGAAATACTAGAATATTACTGTTGTTTTTTATGCCCAAACAAGACAACCAAGAAAATGAATTTATCACCTATCAGAAGAAGGGAAAGGCAGCTACATCATAAATTGTTAAACTAATTAAATCATTACTGAATTCCTTTCAAAGTGAGCTATCTAATAAATTGTATATGTTTCATATTTTTTCGCAATTAAAAATTGTAATTTGAAAGAGGAAATTTCAATTTCAGATTGCAGATTATATCACATAATTATGAGAACTTTAATCTGTATTATCTATTATATTGCAGTGAATGTCCCAAAGATCCTATAGATGGCATTTTGTCACGTGTGAGAGAAATGGGAGAAGTCTTTTGTAACCAATATGTTCAGGTAATCATGAGATTTATAAAATATGATATATTACTATTTATTATCAGATCTTTAAAAATTGATAAACAACGAGTCACAGTGAATATACATAGGAAATAGAGGCATATATATATTTGATATGTAAAAAAAGTGTTAAACAAACTTCAAATGAGGAAAAAGAAGCCTACATTTTCTGCTGCTCAAGGGCACCTGTCAGACTAGCCAGAATAAAGGTTGGGTGAAACTAATTTCTTCATTCTTATCCTTCAACAAAAATCATCCCTTGCTTAGACCTGATAGCAGCACACCTCTGCAGGGAGATGACGTATAATACTGTTTTAATGCCCTGGCCTCATCTGAGTAAGCATTAAGTGTTACCCTTGTCCATCTGTACGTCCCAAAATTGGTTTCCGTTCTCTAACTTAAGTTTGCCTCGACCAAATGTTATGAAACATATACACAATGCTTATTATCAAAAAACTCACAAGTTCGAATTTTTGTGGTGTCATTTTTACTGTTCTTGAGTTATGTCCCTTTATAACGTTATATGCAAGTGGGGCATCATCTGTGTCCCATGGACACATTCTCCATTTATTTATAAGTTTTTGTGTTGATAAATGCATTGTTTCTGATGGAATAAATTCCAAAGTTTTTAATAACTACTTTGAATTCATTTATTTTCTTAGGTTTCAATTTTCATGGTTTCAGGAGAAATTGTATTCTCACGGATATTGAATGTCATGATTTTATTAAAAGTCAGCACACAAGCCAAAAAAATTTCTATTTCGTTGAACATTTAGATTCGTATTTAACCTTTGTCAACAAAATCCACAGAAATTGGTATCCGACAAATAATAATGAATTCACAGTATTTCTTCATTTATACTTTTTGTTGAATGACAGAGGTGCTGCAATAACATGCATGTAACTTCTGCTATTATTTTTGTAGCCAACAGATGAAAATCCAGGTGCCCACATAGACTTTGCTAAGAGACGGTTACAGCTTGGAGAGAGTCTTTATTATAAAATATTAGAAAGTATTGTAGCTCAAGAGAAGAACAGATTAAGTAGTAAAGAGGCTATATTTGTAAGTACAATGTATAAGCAGTTGCATACAATTTTCCCAAAAGTCATAGATGAAATTGAGGCAATATATAGAAAAGGATTTAAGGTGGTACCAAACACCTTGACTAAAATTAATTTGGCTCGTTTGATTTTCATAGAATTTTGACAAAATATTTACTTTGACCCTTTGACAAAATATGAAAAATTTCAAAAGACTTGAACCACACACTTTAACGGAAAAATTTCATTGGAAATATAGCAGTTTGACAAACACTTATTTTGATCATCGAGAAGCTTAATATTTCCTTAATAGAACGTGTTTAAAATGTTCAGCTAATTTTTACAGAGTTATCTCCCTGTAGTGTTATGTACCACCTTAATTGTCATGAAAAAAAAAGAAGATGTCTGACAGTGTCTATTACTTGGATGACTATTTATTTATTCATGTTACGAAGGTGACAATTCTACTGTAAAAGTCACATTTGTGTGCAGCCAGTTATTTCTTGTCACCATAATTGTGAAAAAATGTTACTTTAGTAAATCTTTAACCACTAAAGATGGTAATGGCAGGCTGGAGTGTTCAATTCTTATAATCGAGATTCGACCATGTTTTCACAAGTACTTTGAGGTCCTGCAAGGATTAATATATAAGTAGAAAGTGTGTAATGAAAGTTCCTTTATCAGTGTATGCATATATATTTACAGAATTTATTGGAACATGACGCCTTTCACAGATGTTTATTTGCTTGTTGTTTGGAAATTGTTATATTTTCCTACAATTCACAAAGGTAAGATATTATTAATGATTTCCTGTATTATATTAAAAATCCCATGAATGACTATGAGGTATTTCAGGGCCTTTTCATTCAAATACTTTAGGTCATAGTTGAACCTTGTAATTCGCCATTTCAGAATCTAAAGGACTATGGGTAATCTCTTTGTTCGTACACCAAAATGAAAATAACGTCATGTCATTGGTTGAATTTCCATTGTTTAGTATGTTTTAAATCAATCACAACGTTTTGGTGTACGCTTAAAAAAAAATATTACAAAGAATGCATTAGATTCTGAAACAGAGGTTTTGTATCGCTCATATAAAAATAAGGAGATTTTGTATTATTGCCTATGAGACAACTGTCCAACAGAGGCCAAAGGACAAGGAGGTTAACAATTACAGGTTACCATACTTCATCCCAAAACTGAAGAAGTACAGTAAGCTATAAAAGCATACATTAGCATACATCCTAAAAAATATGGCTTGACCATATAGAATTTCCATTGTCTGTCTGTCTGTCTACATATTTACACCTATTATTCTCTATTTCATTCCTTTCTTAAAAACAAATAGTGGCTTATTAATAATAATTATATGATTTGATTTTATCTTCAAATACTTTAATATGATTATATAAACACTGAGTTGACATCACTGTGATATGATTATGTTAACACTTGAGTTGACATCACTGTGATTTAATAATGCACATTATAAAGGAAATCTTGGGGTTCCACAAAAGGTAAAATTTAAAAGAAAAAAAAAAAACCCAATTGTTTGGGTTAAGAGTTAGGAAGATTAAACACATTTCAGAGTATTACTGTTATATTCTTAAATCCAATTCTTAATATGGGTAACTGTAATTTTCATATAAGCTTAATTTTATGTTGGATCAGCAGATCTTAAGATATGAATAAGGTCCATCTGGTAGCGTTCTTAACTGGTTTTTCAATTTTTTTCATATCTGTCTCAGTTAATGCGTCTGTAGGTCGCATCCGATAAAAAAAAATTGAGATGATTTAATATTCTTATGACAATATATTTGCAGGAAATTTCCATGGATTGTAGAAATCTTTGATATTTGTCCTTATTATTTTTACCGAGTTGTGGAGATTATTATACGTGCTGAAGATGGTCTTTCAAGAGATGTAGTCAAACATCTTAATCATGTGAGTTGACAAAAAACTTTCATTTTAATTTTACACAAAATGTTCACAAGGAAGAACTAATGAAGTAAATCAATAGTATACAATTGACAAATTCATATTCTCATTTGACATTCATACCATGTATTATGGACTACTTGATATCCCTTTGAAGCTTATTTCTGCAACATTGCAGTATTTGTATTGATTGGAGAAAACTTAGAAGTTAAAATATGACATAAGTAATCTAAAGTGTTAGGATGAAGACAATAAATTGATGGTCACCACATAAATAATTGGAGAGTAGTAAATAGGGTTAAGAGACTTGTCAGTTTAGTCTTTTCTATAAATTGCTGTCTTGTTTACTTAGCAGTTAAACAGAAATTATATATTAAAAATATATGATTTCTTCTGGTACAAATGATGTGGAAATCATGGTTTAGGAAAGAACCTTGTGTATATTCATTTAAATACAAAATTTACAACTGCCCACAACCTTAAATTTCTCAAATACTGTGATATAATGTATTTTACATATCTTAATTATATTGTGTTTATAATAGGTAGAAGAATGTATTCTGGAAAGTCATGCCTGGAAACGGGAGTCACCACTGTGGACAGCTATCCAAGATAACAATGGGGTACCAGTTTGTGAAGAGGTTTGTATATTCTTGATAAGAGCTGGGCAGTGAAAAGTTTCAATAGTACAATTTGAAAATTGCACATATTAAGGCAAAAAGCCCGCATTTTATTTATCTTAACAAAATATTTTGATTTAGTTGCGATTGTAAAGAACACTTTTTCACACTAGATTCAAAGTTGTGGTATATATATTTATACTGTGTTTTAATTATTTTTATCAATGTACAAAGTAGTACAAAGTTTCTAGTTTGGAAAAATGGAAAGAAAAGTTTCAATTTGATATTTTGAAAATCAATTAAGAAAAGAAAGAAAAAGCCACACACACATTGTTTATAAACTTATGTATCACACAATATTTTTTTTTATATATAGGTTATCTTGCCAAGTTTGATAGACAGCAATTTAAGTTCAGGAAGTAAAGTGATGCAACATCCTGCAGTTAAACGATTGGTCGATGAAGGTCATGGGGGCAGAAAAGGTTTGTTCTGTTCTCAACTAAAATCAAGATTTTAAATATACATGTGAATGAAACAGCAATCCAACAACAAATTCTTCTAAAATAGATATCTATTGTTGAATTGTAATGATGTTTTTCCATTAAGGTTTATGCATATATTAATCAAGCGTTTAAGGATTAAGTGCATCCATTTATACTATTATTTATGATGATAACTTATTGTTTAAAGAAATTAAAATTTCCATGACAACCTACCAATCTTTGGTATGTATGAGAATATATTTATCAATACTGTTAAGCAACCAGCATAATCATTCTTTTGTTCAGAAGTGTAAAATGAGTACCAAACCTCAGTTAGTTTTGAATGTAACATCATTTTATAGTCTCAGAAATGATAATGTTGTTGTTTTAAAGTGCAAATCTGCCTAAGAATCAGGCATTGGTGAAAACATATCAAACAAAAACCTGCTCAAGTTTACATTAATTTATGTTCAAAATGTATAATGGTGTATACATATAACATCGTTTCCTTTTCCTGTTCTGGTATTTCACTAAAAATTAACAGTTAAGGGGAGCTTACTCCGTAATTTGCTATCATTCTAACCAAAAGTTATCTAGAGATTACTCGAAGTACAAGACAGGCAGAAACGAAAGACAAACCATTCCTAACACAGGATGATGGTAACTTCAAAATAGGATTGTTAGGTCGGAGGGTTTTTGTTGGCCATGTTTTGATATTCTTCTAAATTGATTGATTCTTTCAAAGACTGGCACTTAAAGATTTGAAGAAAATAATGACAACCTAACTGAAGACTATGTAACTAGTAATTTAGTATGATTCATTAGGAATGATGAAACACTTATGGAGGAAAGTTTATTTTAACATTTTTTAGCTTTCATATTAAAGCTTCTTATAGAGTTACAGTACTTATCTTTTAATTACAGAAATCCCTCAGTCACCACCAGGACCATCAGCTGCTGACAGGTTTAGTTCCCCATCACCAGGGAGTGCCAAAAGGAGGCTGTTTGGAGCAGGTGGTGGGACAAGTTCTGCAACAACACAGACTGGAAACCAAGACAATCAAACAGTAATAGCATTCCAACAGGCACAGACCGAAGATGGGAGACAGGTAAAGATAATTAAATGAACATGATTCAGATTTTTACAGAAATTTCCAGTGACATTTATATCAATAGGGTAATATGAGATATTTAATCAGTTAATAATTGATATGAGGCAGGTGATACCTTATGAGCTTCTGTAGGGGTTATAATGATTACAATTTTTTTTCTCTCTCTGAATACATGCCATCATGTTGTTTGGTATTCAGATAAAGAAATTTGCAGGAAATCCTTTGCCCCTTTTTGATGTAATCTGATAAAAATCCATGGGGAATTCTATCTTCTTTATGAGGTTTTACCAAAACTATCGAAAGTTTTATCACAGTCATGTTGAAGGTTTTCAGTATATAGATCTAAATTGAATCTACCATATTTGTTCCCTATGGGAGCATATGATAGTTATAGTAACAAGAAATGTATTTTAAAATGTGTTCTATAGATACAACCTTGTAAAAGTCATAACATCCTAGAAAATGAGGGTGGTATTTTTGTATTTCAGTCACATTTTTTCATTGCTCTTTCAGATACTGATACCTTTACATACTACCGTTGTAAGGACCTCAAATGTTGCAAATAAACAGGACCAGAACGCAGCACCTACAAATCAGACAGGGAACCAGTCTCAGAAACCCAAGAAAACTGGTTCTTTGGCACTTTTCTTTAGAAAGGTAAATTGATTGCTTTATTTTGAAATACATTATTTGTTAAGATTGCAGATTTTTACAAGTTAAATATATCCGGATAGTTCAATGTAGTGATCTTATTTGATGTGTAATATATAAATATATAAATTGTGGAGCATGACAGCTTAAAAAATAAGTCAAAAACTAAATGCAGCCATTTATACCTTAAATTTGGTAGGAATTTCACATTCCTGTAAAGAGTTTAAATTTATTTGTTGTCTTTAATTTTAGTTGTATCATATGTCATCTGTGAGATTACGTGACTTATGTGAGAGGCTACACATTGAAGAAGAGGATGACCTTAGGAGAAAGATATGGACTTGTTTTGAACATACACTTGTGAATCACACTGATCTCATTGTTGACCATCACATAGACCAAATTCTTATGTGTGCAATATATGTGATGTCAAAGGTGAGTTATTTAATTTGGAATGCTGTTGGTCAGTTGCAGGATATAATTGAATCTCTTTATAAAGTTTTTAGTTGTCCTGATGACAATTTTCAGTATATTCAACAGCCAATAAGTTGATTGCCTGAACTAAATGTGTTAAATTATAAGAGTAAATTTTTCTAATGTTAGTTGATACTGCATGTTGATATTTTCCTGGTCATATAATAATTATCAGCAATCATTAAATGTGTAACAATTCAGACAAACCATAGCAATCTTCTGATAAAATGATGCTGAAATGGTTGCTTATAACCAACCAGCCTTTGTAATAAGAGTAACCACACAAATCTATTTTACAAAGGGAGAGAACTAGGATATTTAATATGTATAAGAAGTATCTGACTAGTAACTCTACATTTGAACTTTTATGATTGAGAAATATTTTTCCATTGGATTAATATATGTATAAAGCTTTTACTTCATCTATTCTTCTTGGTGGCCATTTATGGTGATTAGTGAAATGTCAATACATTTTTTTTGCTTGTTTTTTTCAGGTTACAGGGAATTCTCAGTCATTCCAGAATATTATGAAGTGTTACAGAATGCAGCCGCAGGCACAAAGTCATGTAAGTCAATTAATTAGAGCAACAATTAAATATTTAATTTAAACTTCAGTCGGTTGTTATATATCTACAGCAATTTATGTCTTTTTGTCTGGATCTAAAGGAAGATAGCAGGTTCCCCTCAATTGCGTTAATTCATTGGTTCACTACACAGCTAGACAAACCAAAGAATTAAAATGTTTGTTTGCTGGTGTTCCATTAAGCATGCAGCAGTTAGGAGTAAGAGCAAATACTGATTATACTTGACTCAGAAAATATGTCTGGCTGAGATGATGTATTCCTTGGCACTGTTAATCTTGTAATTGAGATACATCTATTAATCCATTCATCATTCAATATTCTGATAATGTCGTAGTTATAAGATCTAAAAAGAAAAAAAAGGCATCAATAGTACACAGACAAAAAATTTATAAAAATTAATTCTCATATTAGTTAACTATGATGATATTCACACTATCCATACAATGGTCCCCTCAATTAACATTACAGGTTTACAGAAGTGTGTTGTTGACAGGTCGACGTAGACACACATCAGGTGGAAGTGATGGTAGTAAAAATGGTGCCAGTCGCTCGTCATCGCCCACAAATAATACAGGTACTACAGGTAAGTTCAATTTCAGAGCTTTCACTATTATTATTATTCTATGGAAACTTTTTGAAGTTTTCTGTTATTACTAGTAAAGATAATTATGAATCTACAATGGAGTAGGGGCAATAAGTCCCTTATTTGGCCCAAATATTAGTGCAAATTGAAAAGTTACCATATATATTCTTAATTTTGTCCAAACTACACTTAAGGTACAAGGTGTTCAGAAAATTAAAACAAATCTAATTTAAAGAGCTACCCTGGCAACAAACCACAATGAATTGTATAATTTGTAAAATTTCTCGATTTCCTTGTTTTGCATCAATTTATAAGTGTATATTAGATTGGAAAAGTATGTGTGCACACAAGAAACGCAACTTAATATTTGGTTATATATACATATATTATGTCAAAAGTTATGATAAAGCTTCTCATACATTATTTTGTTGTTCTTGGCTGAGCATGATGTTTCCACAATGCACCTACTCTTTTAACTTTTCTCAGAATAGCAACTTTTTCTCAAGCTACATAAATTGGTACAAGATTCATACAGTTATCTTGAAAATTAAGATTTTCCTTACATTGATTACATATAAAACTAACTTGTATTTAAAAACCCACATGTGTTGTATTTAGTGATAAAATAAGTTTTGTTTTTTGTTTTTTGCAGAAAAATCAGAAAACCGAGATTTAATGAGGTCCACGAGCACATTACCTGTTCCTCACCCTGGAAGTCATCCTCCTACGCCAACCCACCTGACTTTGGGAGGGTCAGGCTCTGAGGCTGAGGAAGAAAGAGGGGATCTCATTATGTTTTACAATCAGGTAAACTTAGAAAATAAGATTCTTCTGCTGGATTATCTATACATGTGTGATGTTAAATTAGTTACAATGTATAGAAAGTTGGACAGCATTACTGTAAAGATTTTCTTTTAAAACTTTATGATCTTTGAAATACAAACTTTGTAGGCATTTTTCTTCAAAATGTTATTGTATCCATTTTTCCTATTGTAATGGTTTTATTTTTATTTTTGAAAACAACTTTGATTGTCACATCATCAGTTTGTAATATAAGCTTACATATTATAAAAATCAGGAGAACAGAAAATTAGAATTGAATTTAAAATGTCTGAAATTAAAATCATATGAATTTTTTTAGTATATCAAAGTAGTTTATTTAGGCTTGTATAATGTATGGAAAATGTTTATGTAATGGATAAGAAAAATATTCAAATTACATGTATAGCTATTATTTTTTTTGCAGATTTATGTATCAAGATTGAATAGTTTTGCAAAGAGATTTTCAGCTACAGTTCCTTCAAGGGTTAGTAATTTGAATACCCCATTCCAGCTAATTTGATTGTTATACTTTGTAATTTTAGTTCGAATACCTCATGGCAAATAATTTGATTTTAATACTTGGGAAGCAGTTAAGAATTTATCCTTTGATATTTGGATTATTTCAGTTATTTCTTTTCTGTTTTATACTTCACCTTTATACTATCACCTGTTTTTTTTCAACTAAACATGTTCAATTTTACCTTCACCATTATGATATAGACTCAGTTTATCTTATATTCGTTTAAAATATGGTTACTAATTTTAAAGAAAACTAAAAAAAGAATGAAAAGTGACTTACTCAGTCAAAAATATATTTGTTAATGGCAAACAAATGGATTTATCTGTTTTTCTTTCTTTTTTTCTTGCATGAAGTTTTTTTTTTATTCAATAAAATAAAATAATAATTTTAGGATTGTCCAGCTTTGTCTCCTTTACCGATGATGAAACCTCAGACATTGTCACCAAGACGAGTATCCTCCAAATATCCAGTATACATATCTCCACACAAACAGATCAATCTGAAAGCAACTCCTGCTACAGGCAGAATGCACTATTGTTTTAACAGAAGCCCGGCAAAGGTATGTAAAAACCAGTGTTCATGGATACCTGTTGTTGCAGGAGAAATATTTCTTGGCTTGTGAATTCCTGAATTATTTTATTTTTGGAATTTATGTTATCTTGCATCTCAAAGGCAGTAAAAAAAATCATAAGTAAAAACAAAGATTAAGCAATAATATTTTAGAGTGTAAAAAGCTTTCCTATTAGTTGAAATGATGTCCCAAATGCTTGATAAGAGTAGAGCAGACCATTTTTTAAAGTAGATTATTTTAGTGTTTTGGGAAAACTTATTTTTCTAAGCAACATATGGAAGCAAAGAATTGAATAGAAAATTGTTAATGAGAGGTTTTGACCCCAAGGGTGACTGGGGTAAAGAAATATAGTTAATTGACTTCTCCTGTATGGCAGTAATACTATGTATGCTTTATAGGGATCATATATTTCCTGTACAGAATGTATGAATTTGCAGCCATCTCAAATCAGAATGGAAATATTAAATCTTAGGCTCTTGCTGAGAGAGTGTCATGCTCTTTGTAATTTAAAGAATTTTTCAACAAAAAGCATGTGGGAAAGGAGGAGATAATTTCTCTGCCAAATAAATTTCTGCCTCTATCCAGTATACTATCTTTTTTCAGTTGCAGTTCAAATTTCCAGCCCTTCATTCCGGTAGACCCACTTTGCAGAACCTCTTTCTGTGTTATTGTTCAATTTTTCTTGTTAGATCTGAAGATACATGAAATATTTCCCCTGGACATTAGACAAACAAGAAAAAAAGAGTTTTCCAATAGTGTAAAATAATTGATTTTATTTATTTTTAAATTCTAATAAATTCAAAATATTCTCAGATTTTTTTAAAAAGTCTACCTATTGTTGATGTTATTTTCTGTCTCTTATAGGATCTGCGTGCAATAAACAACATGATAAAGATGGGTGATAAGAGACCATCGTTTCTGGGCAAGAGAAGTTTAGGAACACTTGATGTAAATGGTGATGAGGAAGGCAGTGAAAGTCCAACTAAGCTGAGACGACAAGGTTCCTCGCCAATGTTCTTGAAGAAACTGCAGTCTCTTGGTGTGGAGAGGCGAGAAGCCAATGGGAGCATGTAGCTTCAGTGAATAAATAGTTAACATAATGATGGATATTTAAAAACATTGTTGTTGTCTTTCAGAAAAAAATATCACTTAATTATTTTTAAAATCTATTCATAAATCATTGTCTAGTTTACATTAACTTAAATTTGCCATGTTAGAACTATGAAATGAATTCATTTGATCTGTTTTAGTGGGGGACTTTTTGTCTATCTTATGGATAGAATTTCAATTTTTCTTGGATCACCTACTATGAATTAAATTATTAACTGAAATAGGCACTGAAAATTTAATGAGACTAATAATCAATGAAGGTATTACTTTCATTAAATGTCAGAATTAATTGTCAGTTTCAAATGTATAAAATCTTGATATTGATATAGGTCAGATTTAAATGAACTTCCTTGTGGCTTTGACCTGTAGTTCTGACTTAAGCTGCTGACGATAATGTGATATACAGAAGATATAGTGCTCATATTTATTGTCTATATACTTACAGATATTCCAATTTATTGAAGTTGTATAAATAGTAACCATAGAAACCAATGTAGCACTAATTTATTTACTCAAGTTCAAGGTTTTTGAGCTGACAGAAAGAAATTTTCTGGTGCACAAAACTTAAAAAAAACTGTGATAGATATGGCTTCCATAAATTTTTGATAAAGTTAATGAGTGATTGTTAGTAAACGATACAGTATTAATTATAAATACTGTTGTAAGAGTAGAAGTGAAGCATTTCTTTCTAAAATTCTGTTTGACATCCAAAATTGCTTTTCTTGTAGTTTCAATTATTTTAATAGATACATTGAGAATAGAAATGTGATAGAATTCCTAAAGTGGTAAAAAGTTTATAATTTGGACAACTATTAACCATATAAAAACTATTGATTCTGAGTTTGACCTTAATTGAATCTAAATTTTATTCCCATTTTCACCTTACAAAGGAACAGATGTACTGCTATTGCAAAAGTGTTGGTTGAATTGAGACGATAGTAAAATCATTTATTGTAATTGTTAATATCTATTTATTAACTGACAGTAGAAGGGTGAAAATTGCACAATCATTATTTCACCGAGGAAATAAAATATTGTTATTTTCTAAACAAGATATAAAAACCACACTGTAACTTTATTTTCTAAGAGAATGTTTTGCATTAAATGTTCTTTGATGTAATAATTTCTATAGGAAGACAATTTTCTTTTCTATATAGATATAAAACATTTCATATTTTGTCTTCAATTTATCAAGAGTTTCTGAAAATCCACTGACTTTCTCACAAAATGGATACCTTATCAGGAGAGAGTAGATTTCTAATGTGAGTAATTATGCTTTTTAGATTTCATATTATGATTTGTAATCTTAAGCAGTGTTTTCTTTTATATAAACATTCTGAATTTTAAAAAAAGACTTTTATATCTGCTTGCTTGTTGAATGTAATATTTTAGTATTTTATTTTTTTGATAGTGCAATCTTTTTGTAAATACCAATCAATGTGTAAATATCTATTGATGACAGATAGTCATATTTTTACAGCCTCTTTGTAACCTTACTTTTACTTGAGCTTTTCACCTTTAGATTTAATAATGTTTTACATCTTTCTAATATCTTATTTTCTTTTTAAGCAGATGTATATTTTAAGACTTTATATTGTTGCTACACAAATAGTGACATTCATCTATTGGTAACACTCATGAATTTAGTAAAATGATTTTTCTCTGCATATTGAAATTTGTATAATGTTTGAAAAAGCAGATAAGATTTATTTTGAGGCAATATCAATCATGTTAAAAAAACTAACTTTATCAACATCATATGCATTTCATATATTGTAAATTCAGATATTATTGCATGAAATTATTATTGCTACTGTTGATAAATAGGCAAAACATGGAAGATTAATTAATTTGACCTAAGGAAATGTATTATTCAAACAATGAAATATGAATCTAAAATGTAAGTTATAATAAATGCAATTCCAATACAAATGCATTTTCTACCATGTTAAAACATGCAACAGTTTCTGAATTCACAATACCTAGATGTTGTTACTTTAGAACTAGAAATTTCTTGTTGACAAAATTGCATTGCAATTTAATAAATATGGTCAGCTTGGAGGGATGTGAATGAAAGAAATGTATGAAAAATAAGTATAACCAAATTATGTTGCCTCATTTAGGAAACGTTTCTGGATTTTTCATATGAAATGTAAGGGAAGAAATGAATTTATTGTACAGCAACATAATATTTCCCACAGAGCGCAACTAAAAGTTAGCATGCAATATTTATATGGCACTAGTGCAAATATAGCTTCAAATTGTCAGTGATAAAAATATGCTTTCAACAGTTTTTTAAGCTTTGCTATACAATAAATGGTTTAATGAATTGAATATATTTTGAAAGTTCAGAAAAAAGAAAAAAGTAAAAAAAAAAAATGAAGAAATAATGGCAGCTAAAAGGGTTATTACAGTTGTATATGAAATATAACCAAATGAATGAATTAAACTCCGTCTGGTTAACCAATCAATGTCTGTGTGAATCCTTTCGGTAGAGTCCATGAAGTGGATAACTTGAATGAATGAAGGAAGAAACCATCCAAACTGACCTGAGTCTTATTTAGGGTACATTGTTAAATCTTTGTAACAATCTAGTCATAATTCATGGTAAACAATGTTATTTGTTGTTAGTTTTTGTAGGATAGATAAATCATATCAAAACTTATTGTTATGTGAAAAATATGGCAACTGAAATAATGAAATAATAAGGTAACACCATTGTGAATTTTATATAATTTCTAATTTTGTAGATTTTGAAATTGGTTGATGATTTATTTACCATTGTGGTTTAAGTTTGGGAGGTTGTCTATTAAATTCATAAACTGTATACATGGAAAGTGAAAATATGACATTTTATAAACAAAAAGCAAATGCTGGAAATATTTTATAAATTAAAAGCAAAAGCTGAAAGAGTATCTATTTTCATGTTAATATAATATAATGATTTGTACTCTACTGTTAATCTGCAGTTTTTGAGTTTTTGAGAGGACTATTTATTTTGCTATCAATGGTGTGAGAAAAAAACCCACAGAAAATAAGCACCCTGTGAAATTAAACAAAATTTAATCAGTGAATATGGTATATAAGTAAGGAACTGTAATATACAATGTTTATAGTAGACTACATTATAAATGTAGATTTCAATATATTTTGTGATGTCTGTGTTGGGGAATTTTTGTCCCCTGTCTGTTTGTGTCAAATTTTTAGATGCCAAATTTATTATTGTACAGTGGTTATGCATGCCAGTCATATTATGTACATTATTTTAATTTGTACAGATATAAATGTTGAAATACATGTCTACACATCAAATCTAATAAAAAACATGAAAACTTATCAGGGTTTTTATTTTTCCACTAAACAATCTTATTACCAGGTAAAGAAAGCTATTACTTGGGCTCCTTTGTCATAAGAGATATTACCTTACTTTGTATAGAATGATGTGTCTACAATAATAGGTCAATTCTGATCTGGACTCTACAATAATAGGTCAATTCTGATCTGGACTCTTTATCTTCAATTGGAATGGGTGACCTAAAGACTGCCTCGAATGCAGGAAGTCCTTGGTTCAACCCTAGGGCAGAATCAAACCGTAGAACTTTTGTATTTGCTGCTCTGTTGAGTACAATACATTTGGGATTTAGAGCAAAGACCATTTGGCTCAGAGTTAGAATAATGGGTTCAGGGAGGGTTACATGTCTTTGCCGCAAATATTTACCTTGTTGGTTTAGTACATTAAGAATCAGACCAAGCATGTTGTCTAGTACAAGAGAGGTGAAAGATACCAAAGGGATATTCAAACTCATAAGTCGAAAATAAACTGACAATGCCATGGCTAAAAAAGAAAAAGACCAACACGTATACAACAGTACACAAAACACAACATAGAAAACTAGAGACTTAGCAACACGAACCCCACCAAAAACTGGGGGTGATCTCATGTGCTCCGGAAGGGTAAGCAGATCCTGCTCCACATGTGACAGCCATCATGTTACTCCTATATATCAATTAATTAGATATCACTCAATAGAAGATTGGTAATTGACTCTTTATCTAACTCCAAGAAATTCTAGACCATCTGTCAGCAGATCCTGCTCCACATATGACACCTATCGTGTTACTCCTATAAGATATATCAATTGATTATATATCTCTCAATAGCGGACTGGTAATTGACTCTTATCTAACCCCAAGAAATTCTAGACCATCAGTCGTGTAAAATTTTCTAACACTGAAACGAGCAATTACCGGTGTAAACAGCACAAACATTGAAAAATAAAAAAACACAAAGAACAACACTTATAAATAAAGCAAGAACATTAGGAACCCCTTTAAAACAAAACTAGGGGTGATCGCAGGTGCTCCGGAAGGGTAAGCAGATCCTATATGAAGGGGTATATATTCCTATCTCATTAACATCTTATTATCCAGAATATGCATATCTATACTTTCCACTGGTTGTGAAGCAGCATTCAATCAAACAATGTCAGTAGCCTCATTCCATAGTGATCACTATTGCCTAAAAAAAGAGTGGACTTAATGGTCATTTGTATGGGTTTTATTGGGTTACACCCTCCTCTTTAAATAGTTCGTGTAAAATCTCCACAATCGCAGGGAGCTACCTTCCTTTGTACAGATCAATGCAGCCTGCATTACATCTTCAAGACCTAACCTGAACTCTTTAATCAGATACTGTATATTTTGATTTTTTGTGGTGGTTTTATTATTGCAAAAATGGGACCTCATTAATTGGAACTTTAATTTTGAATGCATTATTTATATCAAGCATTTGCTGAAATTAAAGTAATAATACTAATTCTTGTAACCACCAACCAAGTTGCAACACGCAGTCTTAAGATTTTTTTTGTAATTTTGTATGTTGGTAGCTATTGACAAACATATAAGAAATATATTGACAAAAAATTTGTTTATGTCCACGTTGCCATGGTTATTGGTTCCCTTGGATTTTGACTCAAAATTGCACTTTTTGAGGTAGAAAAATTACCATTTTCAGGCAGTCATCATGCACACATTTTAATTTTGATGAATATTGTAACATTTTTTTTTCATTTAAATATAACATTTAGTTAGTTAGATAAAAGATAAAAAGAAAAAAATTATTACGAAAAGGGGAGACGGTGGCAACACTGATTAAAATAAGGGAATTTTCATTGTATTCAAAAAGGCAAATTATAGGCCTTTTGCATGAACTAATTGCACGCTTTTGGATCCACACCCATTTACATTGAAGTTATATATGTAAACTTAACACTGTTGACAGATAAAGGATGAAAATCAATTGAAAAATGTTGTGCATTCAATGACCTTAAGATTGATCTAAAGGTAAAAGGTTATTGGTGACCTTGGGTCTTTTTTATTAGATTTTGTCAGAAATGGTTACAAATATACCCATATCTTTAATAGAAAAAATGTTCAGACTGATTATTGCTTTTATTTGGTAACTAGGTTAAATACCAGAGGTCAAGGTCATGTCAAAATATCTTAGCAACGACCCTTACTTGCTATAAAAGTACCTAGCAACCATACATATTTGGGTTCAGACTAATATGAACTTTTATTTATGAAAATGCCTGTACCAAGTCAGGAATATGCCAGTTGTTGTCCATTCATTTGATGTGTTTGTGCTTTTGATTTTGCCATTTGATTAGGGACTTTCCATTTTGAATTTTCCTCGGAGTTCAGTATTTTTGTGATTTAACTTTTTATAAAGATCCTTGTTGAAAAGTGAGCGGTCAATATCATAACCAAAGACTGAAGTAGGCATTCTTATATAGTTGAAAACTTCCTAGCAATCATCAATGTTTTGATCCCTTGCAACAAATTCCGAAACTATGAAACTGAAATGTAATTCTTTCTTTCAATTTGAATGTCAAATTCCTTTTAGAATAAGTTACTGACATGATTTTACTTGTGTGTATTTCGGTTAATCATCAGCCACGCTGTCTCCTGTTCTGACTTTAAACATCATAGATATTTTTATGTGTGTATTTACTGAGTGTTCATGAAACTTTAGATCATTCGAAATAAGTGCTATTAAAGGCTGTTTTCCCAGGCATATATATATATATATATATATAGGTTTACGACAAGGGGGTAAGTGGTCAATATCGTCACAGTAGTCTTTAGTAGCCATTTCTCTCATATCGTGGTAAATGCCTAGCAACCATCAATTTTTGTAATGCTGAGGACAAAATATAAAACATTTTTTTCTGATCATGATTCAAAGATCTTTCATTTAAACTCACCTGGCTCTTAACTCATTCGACCCCAAGAGATTTCTGGAAAATCAGGCATTTTCGAAATTTGCAAACATATGCAAATAATATGCAAATTAGTAGACTCGTGATGCTGTAGCTGATGCTGATCTATTAAACCAGAGACATATATACATGTGTATATATGTCTCTGATTAAACTATGTATTGAGATTTGGGGGCGGATGGCATCGGTGGAGGGTGGGGTGGGAGGCGGTATATTTTCTGGTGGGTTTTATAGAAAACAGAAAAATGCCCTGAAAATAATTTCAAAGAATAGAGATTTAAAATGGTGCTTAAATATAAAAGAAAGGAAAATCAAATTATGGGCGAAAGATTTAAAAATAAATATTTGAAGACTCCCCATTCAAACCCTTATATATCACTGGTAATGTCTAAAATTAAAACATCATTGTGTGTTGACATTTTCCCCTAAGTGTAGTACTTCAAATACACAGAGTTTCATTGACTTTGGTACCAATCAAAATAAAATATACACCAATCAACATGCACAGAAAATAATTTATATGTTGCGGTTCTCAAGTTTTTCTTTCTCGCTATTTTGAATTTATATTTTTTTACTAGCAGGGAATTTAAAATATTTAAAGGAGTCACTAATTCCAGAGAAATATTTATTATATGTCATTCAGTTCATACATAATGTCAGTTTATATGTAAAAATGTCAACCAAATACTGTTTTTATTTATCGTGAAGACTTCAGAATAACGTAAATGTTAGTACTTCGCCGGTGTCATTTTCACAATTGGAAAATTTTCAAAACCATTCAAGAATTTAAAGACCTTCCAAGAAATACCAGGACGAAACACAACCAATACAAGTGCCGTTGTGCACTTTACATGTACAATGTGTTAACAGTTTATTTCCTAGTTTATCAAGAAATTCTGATGTACAATCCTTCCGTCGTTATGTGACCTTATAATTATCTATTCGTTGATTCGTGATCCACGACCAAGCGAGTAAATGATCATCACAAAAAATATTTTGAATCAACCTATTCGGTGCGTTTGTTTTTCTGCATTGAAAATTCTGTACAAGTGTCTTCTGGCCATCGAACAAGGTCCTGTTTTCCCTCTGATTTGACGTTAAATCGGTACAGTCACCTATATTAGAGTGTACGGCGGCTTGGAAATATATCGGGAGATTAGGCATTTGAGCTGGCTTTCAGTTACTGCTAGGAAGTCAGGAAACTTGTCAGTGGTTGTCTTCTCTTTTTATTTTTGTATTTTTTATAACTTTGAATCGACCGTAGATTAGATAGTATCGGTTTAAATCAAACATAACTGTATACTTTATATAGACTCAGTTAGGACAATTTTGAACTTGACATATCCATCTCCTTTATTCGTAAAGAATTTTAAATCTGGGAAGTTCACTGAAAGAATTCGATTTGGAAAAGTGGTAAATGCTTTTGAGAAGATTTATGTATTCATCATTGAAAATGATGTAGGTACCAGTAATCAAATTATACATTGGTAGTTTAACTTAGTCAAGTTAAATTAATTAAAAAAATTTTGATGAAATAAATCAAACAACAGATATAATTTTTAATAGATTATTCTTGTTCAAATTGTAAAAACCTCGATAGCTTCTGGGGGCTGTGCCCCCAAAACCACCTGCCTCGATAATAACAGTAGGCATGCTACGCCACTTCGAGAGCTTGTTATTCATTGTTTGGAGAAGGGCTAGTCAGTTATTGTTTGGAGGAGAGCTGGTAAGTTATTGTTTAGGGAGAGCTTGTAAATCATTGCTAAAAGGAGAGCTAGTAAAATATTGTTTGGAGGAGAGCTTATAGTTCATTGTTTTGAGGACTGGTTAGTTATTGTTTGGAGGAGAGCAAGTAAGTAATTGTTTGAAGGAGTAAGTAAATAATTGCCTATGGTAGAGCTAGTGAGTTAATGTTTAGAGGAGAGAAGAGGAAAGCAAGTAAGTTGTCCTTTGGAGGAGAGGTAGTAAGTCATTTTTTGGAGGAGATTTAGTAAGTTATTGTTTGGAGGAGGGTTTTAAATTATTGTTTAGAGGAGAGGTACTAAGTTATTGTTT